TTGATGACGACGATGATGACGAGGTTGACGGCGATGCCTCCATCGTCGTCGTCGTCTTTGTCGTCAGCAGGAGGAGGAGGAGGAGATAATGTCAGCACGATTCCCAATCTCTCCTTCGCTCAATCCTCCTCCTCCTCCTCCTATAAAGAGGTACTTCTCTTTTATCTGATCTAATTTTGGTTTTAGTTCGGTTAATTGTAGTTTGGTACCCTAAAGTTTGCAACTTTAATACCCCCATTGTTTCTAATTGACGCTTTGGTGATCGAAGTTGGCTTTTCCCCCCTTAACTCTGACACCCTAAGTTTGTTTTCCGCCTCTGTGATACCTTAAAGTTTATACATTTTTTAACTTCGGTGCCCCAAAGTTTACACATTTTTCAGCTATGGGGTGTCAAAGTGTCAAAGACAGAAGTGTGGGTTATCACGAAGGGGGTGTAAGGTTTGGGTATCGAGGTGCCGAGAAAAAATTTGGAGTATTAACGTTATAAGAGGTGCAAACTTTTGGGTATGAAATGGTGGGGAAAATCTTCGTGGTGTCAAAGTGGTGGAGAAAAAACTTATGGGAATTTAAGTTTAAAATGGTGTAAATTTTGAGTATCAAAGTGCAGATAATCCTGATCCTTATGATTATCATTATACTACCGTTGCTGCTATATTGTCACTATTATGACTTGCCCAATTTGTGTGTGGAGTGGAATTACGGAATCCCCCGACTTAATTGTATGGGATTAAATTGTATTGTTATTTGTGTATAGTTGATCGAGACGCTGATACATGGAGTGGACCTCTCGGAGGAAGAGGCCGAGGCATCCCTCGACCTCCTTCTGAACGAGGCCAACGAGGCCCTCATCAGTGCCTTCCTAGTCCTCTTGAGAGCCAAAGGTGAAACCTTTGAGGAGGTACTACTACTATTTTTATATGTTATTGTCATAAATTTAGAAACTTTGGACTGAAAAATGGACTACAGATAGTGGGACTGGCGAGGGCCATGATCAAATGCTGCAGGAAAGTTGAAGGTCTGTCGGATGTGGTGGACATTGTGGGAACAGGAGGTGATGGAGCTAACACTGTTAACATTTCCACTGCTGCAGCAATCCTCACTGCTGCAGCTGGGGCAAAAGTTGCAAAGGTTTAGAAAACATATCTTAATCATTTCAATCTTTCTTTCTTGAATGAATGAAGAAAATTATCAGATAAGATTACCTTTCTGGCTCTCTTGCAGCAAGGAAATCGTTCGAGTTCTTCTGCATGTGGCAGTGCTGATGTGCTCGAAACTTTGGGTGTCAACATAGATTTGGGCCCTGAGGTAGTACCATACTAGATGCATCATTTACATATGCACTAGCATTTTTCATGAATTTAAATGTTTACTTTATTACTGTTACATGATTGATGAGTTATTTATCTCATGCGTCAGGAACTCCTATATGTAATATGGTGACTGGTAAATAATCTAAAGACTGGGGAAAAGAAATTAAAACAGAAAAACCTTTGATGAGAGGGGAGGTAGAAAGAAATGTATAGAATCAAAACCCGAAATATGGGCTATGCTTACATTAATTGTTGAACCTTAGGTTAGAATTTCGTTTCATTGGCTAATCTACTTGGATGTCTAATGACAAATCACACATCTCAAGGTCGTTTTATTAAATTTGATTGCAGATATGCTGTTGTTTTCTCTAGATTTTAGTTTAACATTGCATTAGTTCAAGTGCTACTATAACTTTGAAATGGCTACACACCCAATTAGTCAAGTAAATGACAAAGTCAAAGAGTTTGTTTTAAAATGAGCAGCAGATGGATTGCTTTTTAACCAAACTTCAATATTTGTTGTTCTATAAACTTCAAGTCTTTTTCCTGCTTATTCCCCCAAAATTCAGCTTGTTTTGATGCACCCAAACATCACACATGTACCCATCTGTGCTTACAAATATGGTAATTGTTAAAACATAGAAATATGTGCATGTTGGGTCTTGTGACAAAAGTAAATTGCTTTGTATTTCACTTAACTAAAATGAGGTTCTTTTTCTAAATGAATATTAGCTTGATACATATATTTATGAGTCAAATATATAATATATTTAGAAGAAATATGCATATGTAGCTATCCGGACAGGTTTTTTATTATACACTAAGTCTATAGTAGTGCCTCACAGTATGATACTTGTATCTGTGCCTACAAGTCATGGTCTTTTTCCTACTTTTCCGTATAACAGTCTCAAGTTCATTGGCAACAACAGTCATTCTGCTTCACTCCCATGGATAGACTTTATTGGTAAAAATTGATTTTATCCTCTAATTTTCATTCATGTTTTAATATTAAATGTTAATGCAGGTTTACAGTGATGAATAATAAGTTCCAGCACCCAGATATGAATGATAATAGCTCTACATTTCAATAACTAGTAACTCAACGATGGAAATTAATTCAAGCAAGGCCTTATGGGAAATATACCATAGAAAAATATGTCTCATCATTATCAACACAATAGTTCAGTTGATAACAAAAGCTAATACTCATGGCTATAATTATGCATTAATAAGGATGAAAAGAGCAGTGAGCTTATGTTCCAATTCCACATGTATTTTAGGTAATGTCAACCTCTATAATAAGGATGAAAAGAGCAGTGAGCTTATGTTCCAATTCCACATGTATTTTAGGTAATGTCAACCTCTACAAAATAAAATACAAAGTGAAAGGTGTGCTGTTCCAATTCCACATGTATTTTAGGTAATGTCAACCTCTACAAAATAAAATACAAAGTGAAAGGTGTGCTGGCACTGTCCTCATTGTGTTGAATGTAGATACCTCTTATTCAAAACCTTAAAATTGTTGTCCCGGAAACTTTCTTGGGTCAGTTTATATTTTTCAATATCCATTCAATCAAGGAAAATCATCATTGATAGGCAACTTTCTTTTGTTGTCCAAAAGAACTATCATAGTCAAACTACCTATGTGAGTCCTTCTATTGAACCTAGATCCAAATTTTGTAAAATTTATGATAGCTCTCGTATAATTTGAGTCTTCAACCCATATTGCATATGGCAACACGTAATTTGTATATTCTTCTGAAAGCATCCAAACTTCTGCTATCTTGATCATTCAAAAGAAAGGTTCATGTTGCCTATTTTTCTGTAAAGGTACATCACAATTGGTAGTAGGAAAATCCAAAGGACGTGGTGAGCATGATATCATTTCATAGATTATAGGCTTCTAGATTGTTTTTATCTTTTTTGATGATGCATAGTGATTTGGTCATCTTTTGGGAGAATATCCAAGGCTTCTAGATTGTTTTTATCTTTTTTGATGATGCATAGTGATTTGGTCATCTTTTGGGAGAATATCCAGCTCGATATTCCATTGACATCATGGGCTCCTGATGCATAGTGATTTGGTCATCTTTTGGGAGAATATCCAGCTCGATATTCCATTGACATCATGGGCTCGGTGATGAATTTACTGATCTCTTTAGCATTTATGACTTACTTTGTTTCCTTTTTCTATAATTATCTTGGATTTTGCAAGATCTATATGTAGATAAATAATTCGTTCTGCATCTTCTCTCTCTGTTTTTTTTTTTTTTTAATTATAAATGATAAGGATGTGAGAAGATGTGTGGAGGAAGCAGGGATAGGTTTCATGATGTCTCCAATATATCATCCAGCAATGAAAATTGTCAGTCCGGTGAGGAAGAAGCTCAAAGTGAAGACAGTCTTCAACATTCTAGGTCCCATGTTGAATCCGGCAAGAGTACCCTATGCTGTTGTTGGTGTTTACAATGAAGATATAGTGAGTTTCTTTTTTTCTGACAATTTCTATTACTTGGCACTCTTGTTTCTATTCATCTGATATGAGTTATATGACATCAACGTCGCTAATCTTTTAATTATGTTCAAGCGAGAGTTTTTGCTAGCATCATATCTTAGTGGTGTTAGTGCCATCCAGTGTATTGATGAGTTTCGTCATGCAGATGTGTAAAGGACATCTGAAACTAGGGATCCCCTTAAAATGCAATTAACTAAATGAATGAGATAAAGAAGCTAGTAGGCAACACAATGCACTACATGAAACAGAGACATTCGAAAATTGGAAAGTGGATTTTCCTTCGTTAAAAATCTTATCTTTGACAGTTTTGCATCTTCGTGACTATATGCTGAAGTTGGATGCTTTTTTGGAGGTTGGATACTTGGATTTCACTACAAGGTGTTTGTAGGATGGGAGCCAGATGTCATGTTACCATATTTGTCCTTCATACAGTTGTGACTTCTATTTTCCCTTCCATTTTGAAGTAGTTTTTATTTGTAAATGTTTGCTCAAGGACTTCACGGTTTTGTTGAAGGCAATATAAGGCCTTTATAATTGCTAGATTATTGTTTTGCTAGGTAATGAAGATGGCTAAAGCATTGCAACGATTTGGGATGGAAAGAGCATTGGTAGTTCATTCAGAGGGTTTAGATGAAATAAGTCCACTTGGTAAGATCTCATCCTTTATGTGTATCTATCGGTGAGCAGTCTTCTAAGTTGTTTCTTTTTGTATAGTCTATATTTCTTTTCACAGATTTTTATTAGTTATTTATAATAAGCTTTTATCTCATAAGCTCTTTGTTGGCTCTGTAATTGTTGCAGGACCTGGATATCTCCTTGATGTGACACCAACAAAGATTGACAAGTTCCATTTTGATCCATGTAAGAATCATTTCACTCATACAATTTTAGTAGTATATATATTCAGATGTAAAATTTTGCACTATTTATGTTGTAGATATTTCTGATGGTATTTCTAGTTAAATGAAATTAGACAGTTGAGCAACAGAATCTCTCATGTAGATGAATGTCGTTATTCAGTTTTCTTGTGGAATGTCGAGATTGAGTTGCTTTCAGACTAACTGTGCGTGTTTGTTGATACAGTGGACTTTGGTATTCCTCGCTGCACCCTTCCAAGCCTAAAAGGAGGAGGTCCAGAATTCAATGCCAGAGTTCTTAGGAACGTACTTTCTGGTGAAAAAGGATCAATTGCAGATGCTATTGTAAGTTTTCCTGTTCTTCACGTCTGCTCCTCTTAGTCTTTCCTCTCTAGGAATTCTAAAAACTTTTACCTTTCTGGTGTAACTAGGGAAGATCAACTTTAGTAGGTTCTACCCGACTGATACCGTAGATAGAAAATGTTCTCACCCGGCCACATTCGTACAAACAATGTTCATATATACGCTCACGAACAAAACATAATAAAATTAAATTGAATCAGTATGTGTAATTTATGTATACGCAGCGTCTAAGCTCATAGGCACAACTTTGTCAAGCCCCATCTTTATGTGATATAACTAAGTGTGTGCATAACACTTGGGTGCTCTGCAAATTTTACTTGATAAGTCATCAAAGGTAAAACAAACAAAAAGGTGTGAATTACTAAAGAAGATAGTTTTTGATGGTTCAGCACATCCTTGTTGTAAGGAAGGTTATCGTCCAAGTGTGAGACTTCTGCTAATGCTTGTACACTTGACTAACATTGTCAAAATCCCGAAGTCGCTCAGAAAGTTGAGAAAGAAGAAAGTCAGAAAGTTGAGTGGCTTAATTTTATTGAATTTGCTTTTCTTAACATGAATTTGTTTTTTTAACAGTTAATACTTTCTTACCATAAGATATTAGTTTTAGTCAAATTAAACTAGATATCTAAATAAAAACACATGGGGTATCTGAGTAAGCAGTAGCTTCTCTAGGGAACTAAGATGACTGCCTCGTAAATCTGAGAGAGGCAGAAACAACTAGATATCTAAATGAAAACATATGGAGTATCTGAGTAAGCAGTAGCTTTTCTAGGGAACTAAGATGACCGCCTCGTAAATCTGAGAGAGGCCAGAAAACAACTAGAAATCAGAAACTGTTAATGTGATAAGAACTTGCCTTGATTTCTTTCGAACGTGAGTTAGCGTCAGCTGATGCTTTAGTTTGACTGCGGGATGTGCAGGTGCTGAATGCTGCAGCGGCTCTTTTGGTGAGCGGCCGAGCGGGCAGCTTGGCCGAAGGGGTGGCACTGGCACAAGAGACCCAACAATCCGGGGAAGCCATTCACAAACTTGAGTTTAGATGAAATAAGTCCACTTGGTAAGATCTCATCCTTTATGTGTATCTATCGGTGAGCAGTCTTCTCAGTTGTTTCTTTTTGTCTAGTCTATATTTCTTTCTCACAGATATTTATTAGTTATTTATAGTAAGCTTTTATCTCATAAGCTCTTAGTTGGCTTTGTAATTGTTGCAGGACCCGGATATCTCCTTGATGTGACACCAACAAAGATTGACAAGTTCCATTTTGATCCATGTAAAAAGTCATTTCACTCATACAATTTTAGTAGTATATATATTAAGATGTAAAATTTTGCACTATTTATGTTGTAGATATTTCTGATGGTATTTCTAGTTAAATGAAATTAGACAGTTGAGCAACAGAATCTCTCATGTAGATGAATGTCGTTATTCAGTTTTCTTGTGGAATGTCGAGATTGAGTTGCTTTCAGACTAACTGTGCGTGTTTGTTGATACAGTGGACTTTGGTATTCCTCGCTGCACCCTTCCAAGCCTAAAAGGAGGAGGACCAGAATTCAATGCCAAAGTTCTTAGGAACGTACTTTCTGGTGAAAAAGGATCAATTGCAGATGCTATTGTAAGTTTTCCTGTTCTTCATGTCTACTCCTCTGAGTCTTTCCTCTATAGGAATTCTAAAAACTTTTACCTTTCTGGTGCCACTAGGGAAGATCAACTGTAGTAGGTTCTACCTGACTGATACCGTAGAAAATGGTCTCACCCGGCCACATTCGTACAAACAGTGTGCATATATATGCTCACGAACAAAACATAATAAAATTAAATTGAATCAGTATGTGTAATTTATGTATATGGAGTGTCTAAGCTCATAGGCGCAACTTTTTCAAGTCCCATCTTTATGTGATATAACGAAGCGTGTGCATAACACTTGGGTGCTCTGCAAATTTTACTTGATAAGTCATCAAAGGTAAAACAAACAAAAAGGTGTGAATTACTAAAGAAGATGGTTTTAGATGGTTCAACTTATCCTTGTTGCAAGGGAGGTTATCGTCCAAGTGTGAGTCTTCTGATAATGTTTGTACACTTGACTAACATTGTCAAAATCCCAAAGCCGCTCAGAAAGTTGAGAAAGAAGAAAGTCAGAAAGTTGAGTGGCTTAATTTTATGAATTTGCTTTTCTTAACATGGATCTGTTTTTTTTTAGCAGTTAATACTTTCTTACCATAAGATATTAGTTTTAGTCAGATTAAACTAGATATCTAAATGAAAACATATGGGGTATCTGAGTAAGCAGTAGCTTCTCTAGGGAACTAAGATGACTGCCTCATAAATCTGAGAGAGGCCAGAAACAACTAGATATCTAAATGAAAACATACGGAGTGTCTGAGTAAGCAGTAGCTTTTCTAGGGAACTAAGATGACTGCCTCATAAATCTGAGAGAGGCCAGAAAACAACTAGAAATCAGAAACTGTTAATGTGATAAGGAACTTGCCTTGATTTCTTTCGAACGTGAGTTAGCGTGAGCTGATGCTTTAGTTTGACCGCGGGATGTGCAGGTGCTGAATGCTGCAGCGGCTCTTTTGGTGAGCGGCCGAGCGAGCAGCTTGGCCGAAGGGGTGGCACTGGCACAAGAGACCCAACAATCCGGGGAAGCCATTCACAAACTTGATTCATGGATACTCATCTCCAATGTAAACGAGCTTTCCTGATTCTTGAAACCCCCTTGCTTGCTTTTTTTTTCGCATATCGACTGCTGAAAGATCCAAACTCCTGTAAATTCTTTTGGTGATGCAGAAACTGAAGCAAGGAGCTGCCGCAGGTGTGGGTGCTGCTTGAACACAATATCTACAGTCTCAGATTCTTCAATCAAACAGCTTTTCATCTCAATAATAATAATAAAAGTGTAAAATAATTAGAATAATACTCCTTAGGCGCCCCATACAGAGTTCTGAGAGTTGGTTCATATTGTACTTATGGCACCTTCAATGTTTTCATGACTCATATCAGAAAATGTATTTATGAACCAACTACCAGCCCACCACCCCTTCAGAGCTTGTCTGCTCTCTGAAGGAATGAGGTTTTTATTATTGTTTATTTATCGTTATTCAAGTTGAGCTGAGGCAGAGTCACGAGCGAGGTTGAAGTTCGACGGAGATCAAATCAGGAACAGCGTCAGGATTTGAATAGGACGCAAGCCCAAACCTGTTCTGGGCCTCACGTCTATCAAACAAAATCAGGGTTAAACGGATGGACCCAATTGGGGCCCGAATAAAGTGGCGATGAAAAGAAAACCTGAAAAGATTTCCCAAGCACTATTTAACCGCTAATTCTCTCTCAAGTTAGCCGTTGTATACTTTTATTCTTCTTGATTGTCGCTGCGCACGTGTTATAAGAAGGTTTCTTCCCCGTCTAGAAATCACTTTTAAAATATGATCATTTTATAGAAATTGTTGTTGGTTTTCAATTTATACATAAATCACATTTAAACGTTTTTTAGTACAATCAACTACCTCTGACTCACGTTTTTCAGTTTTGCTATAATTATTACTTCTTAATACCAAGTATATTAAAGAGATAATCTTTAAATGAGGTTAGGTTAGGCCAATTACTAAAAAAACTTAACTGAAAAGCAAGCCCGTGTGTTTGATTTCAACGAAAACCCCTTTAAATGTGAATTATGTATAAATTAACAATGAAATGTGGAAACTACAGAATGATCCTATTTTAAAGGTGATTTGTAGGTGGGTACCCCATAAAAAAGACGACATGGAGCCGGATTTGATGTAGTTGGGCATGTAGAACATACTATAGAGGGGATGTGATGTAGTTTTTAAAAAATACTATAGCGAAGCATCCATTGAGAACGGCAACCCAATTACTCTGTCAAGTTATGTGTACATGAAAATTTATGATATTTCATATCACTCTCCCCCCTTCCATCAACTAATGTAGGTGTCTTTACAAGTCATGTGACACCAATTTCGCCATAAACCATTTTATTATTATGGGGTATAATACCAATTTCGCCATAAACCATTTTATTATTATGGGGGTGTAATGTTACACCATTAATCAGTGAAGGAAATTATCCTATTTCTCCAATCAAAAAACTATCCATTAAATCTGTACACGAACCCCGATATCTAATGATCTAACAGTTGACAAACCCCGATGTCTAATGATCTAACGGTTGACATCCATTTAGTGCACGTTTAATTTCATACACCCATTTCATACTTTCTTCAATCAGTGGCTCCACCTCATTAATTGATGTGTGCAGCCACCATAACAATTATCACATTCATTATTGATTATCCTGCATGCCATCAGCTCCTCTTCCCCAACCAAAGATCATTACTTTAACCAGAACCAAAAAAATGCACTCGAGAGAGATAAGGAACAGAGAAAAAAAAAATGCACGCGTTTAAAGTAAAGTCATGCCAGCAATTGAACTTTCACAACATGACATCAAATGTGCAACTAAATGCAGTTATAACATCCAGCCTCAGCAGATTTATTCTAGTTTCAACCCAATTTTAAACCCTACTAATTAAGTAGGTAACTAATTCTAGCAACCCAGAGAGTCAATCTCACTCCTTAAGTTGCAAGAGCTCCAGCTTCAGTAAGAAGGGCCATCAATTTGCCTTGTCTGTGCTTCGCGATAACACCTATCGACATCATTCAAATTCAAAAAATGTTATCATCAAAAGTGTATTACTTCCAGTAAGCCCAAAAGAAGAAGGGAGACGAAAACCATACTGTCACAGCCACCAATATGCTTCCCACCAATAAAAACATTGGGAACAGTCCTCTGTCCGGTCCATTCCACAAGTGCGGACTGAACTTCATATCCATCACCTTCATCGAAGAAATGGAATATGGTGCGTCAGTTTTTTCTACGCTACCTTTTTCTATAAATTGAGTTAATAAGCAAAAAAAGTGTCTCAAAAGCGAAACTGAAAGACGCGTCATCTTTCAGTAGTAATGCACGTCAAATCCCAGGTATCGAACGGTAAGTACTCACTTTCCCGATCCAGCTCCATCACCTTGTAACTTGCATTTAGCTGCGAAAGCAACTGCTTAACCTGACCGGAGAATTGGCAATAACTCTTGCTGCAATGAATAAGAAAATAAGGGTGTGTTATAAAGCACAAAAGGTTAATGGGAACAAAAATTATGGAGCAAAAGTTTAGCACAAATGGAACAAAAGGATGCATAGGTGACTTTCGACAACATGATCGGTATATATAAGCTGCTATCAAAGGAGAGTTCAATATGCAACTTAAAACCACTGCAGCCTAAAGAGGTCCTGACATAGCTGAATGCAGACAGGATTATTGCGTCCCCAGAGAGTTGGGATGAAGTTTTGTGGTTAAGCAAGCAAGCCTATGAGCCAGAACAATTTTCTGTATTGTTTTCCCTCTCAAACTTTTGCATATGTTTTTCAGTCACGAAGCAAGCCATTTGTAAACGAATCTTTTTATCTTTAACTCACAGATCTACCTTCGGAAAGGATGTCCATATGATGAGTCTTATATTACCTAGGGCCATACTAGCCATTTGGATTATTACAACATATATCTTCAGATGGGATATCCCTACATTCAGCTGCATTGATGATTAAGCATTATTACAGCAGTAACAAAACCTTTATCTCTAATTTATAGGTCAATCACATTAATCTCTCTCAATTTAGTACCTTAACAGACATTGAATCCTAAATGTCAAAAGTGACTAGTCTTAGGATTATTAGTCGTCAGTATGTACTATACGCTTACCCTTTGACAAAGTCTTACTGAAATAAAAATTCTGTGCATTCTTTATTGTTCTACCAATTCCATAGATTCGAGAGTTTCTCCCTCTCATTCTACTTTAGAAATTATTTCTTTCCTAGCCTTGTCAATTCATATTATGTCATAAGCATAGTGATTTCGTTTTCCAAGCATATTGTCCAGCTACTAATCCTACTAGGTGTGGAAAACGAACGAATTGAATTGAATAATAGTGTATTCAGATTCGAGTTTGGTTAAAATTCAAATATTCAAATTCCAATTCGAATTCGAATTCGGGTCGAATATCACAATTATGTTCATATTAGATTCGTTTATATATAGGATATTCAATAATTATTTGTGAATATCTGTTAGCCCATTTGGTTAGGGGCTTTGGCTTCCAAACAAGACGCCTTGGTTCAAATCTTGGTGTGCCATATTAATTTTCCCTTTTTATTATTAATTGGATATTTCTGCATATACTCCCTTCTAATTGTATATATCAAAATCAACAAGTATTATAATAAAAAGCAAATCGAATATACACATATATACAGTTAGAAGGGTGTATATGCAGAAATCTCCAATTAATAATAAATTGAGTTTTCCATTCAAGTTTGTCTCATTTTGAACTAATAATTTTTTTAGATAATGTCTAATCTACCATTTGATAAATATAAAACATAAACGAATATTTAATGATCAAGCAAATTGAATATACACTTCATTAAATTCTATTCATTTATGAATCAAATGGTAAAGTTAATCATTCACTTCCACCCCTAAATCCTACAAATAAGGTATCGAATCAAATACGATAGAATAGTTGGATGAGTAATAACGGAATTGTTTGTTGGTTATTTGGTTCACTTCCACCCCTAAATCCTACAAATAAATACATAGTCTTTAATTTGTTATTGATGTTGCACAGGTCCCTTGAAGGATATAGCCTAGTATAAGTTAATATCACCATCCAACTATAAAAGGTACGATGGGGCCATAATGTCCGATCATCAATGATTGGACAGAATCCAAGTTGCACGGGTGCATGTACGAGTCGGCAAATTTGTAAAAGGTAGTGTAGGGGGATACACACATACACACACGACTCTTAAATCGTAGATCTTAATGCTGAAATGAACTCGACCCTTATCCAACAAGTTACAAAAATGGATATGAAGTGTAGGATATATATCCATTTCAGTTAAACATGCATTGTATAGTTGAGTACATGCTAAATAAATATATGCATATATGTAAGGAGTATCCAAGAAGTATAGGATATAGTACGAGCATTGTTTTAAATATTGGATATTGCATAAATGTAGGACGATCAGAATTCATATCGGATTGCGAAAATCAGGGATATATTAAGGATATGTAGTAAATATCGGAGTGTCATGTCGGATAATTTTAATGCATGATATAACATTCTAATATATAATCTAAATATATATAATTTATAAACATTAAAAATTGAATCATGATATATCTTTAGGACGTCTAACAAACTATAGAAACTTTCTTCTCAATAGCATCATGAAACATTCAAAGTGCAAAGCATTAAAAGAGACGTAGAGCAAGATTAGAGAGAGAGAGAGAGAGAGAGAGAGAGGTAGAGGGAGGGAGGAAGGGAGGGGGAGAGAGAGGAGAGGGATAGAAGAGAGACGGCAGAAAGATGTGATGGGTACAGGTACAGTATTAGAAGTACCTAGGTAACATCGGACACAATAAATTGTTCCCAGGAAATTAGTGTTGAAAGCTCACATCCTCAAGTAACAGCAAAAAATATATGCATAACAAGCGAAGTATGATATCACAATAGATCACCAAGGATATACAATAATCAAGTGACAGGATCACACTAAGACTTGCTCTAGAGGATCTTGGAGAAAGAAATCAGAGTATGATTATGTTGGTTTTTACTTTTTAGCAACTTTCTTGTGGCCTTATCTATAAAAGGCAAATTTTTGTCTTAAGAATTTTAGATATTTTACAGTTTTAGAAACATTTTTGAAACTTCATTTATTTAAAAAATTTATTAAGTTTAGAATTTATAGTTTGATTATTTTCTTGTTAGGTTATAGTTAAAAATTTTATTTTCATGTAAATTAACTCATTTGGGCCTATAAATATCCATTCTTCTACTTTCTTTAATGAATTTGATGATAGTTTTCAAAATATTGTGAAATTGAATTGCATTTGAAATGCTCTTTTGAAGTGGAACCAAATCCTAACTCCATCCTACGTCCTTGTCACCACCTCTCTCTCCCTTCCTTTCCTTGATCAAATTGCCACTTAATCTAGCCAACATCATCCATCTCCAAAACTTCACATGCTAATCTTATTTGATCTCGAAACCATGAAAATATAAGTTAATGGGATTCTTTGGGTTCTTGAAGTTGAAATTGTTGCAAATCGTTCAACTATTTAAGTACTCAGTGAAGGATAAAAGAAGGACACAACCTCACGGGACTTCCGATTATGTTTTATTTCTTACTTCATAAGTATAAACTTTAACCGTCTGCTTATCCTTAGTTTCCTCCTTAATTGAATATGAAGATATGCAGAGCTTATATTTATTGTAGTTAAAGGCAATGCTCCCAGAAAACTAATCAGGCTAAGGAGAAACGGACAGAAGACCAGAAGACTACAAAAGATATCAAAAAGATGCTTAATCGGATACCTTCTAAGCTCAATAGACTTTGCCACCATTCCCATTGACTTTATACATTCCTGCCTCCAAACTCGAGATCATGCCCTTCATCCACAATGGGGGCTTCACACACTCCTACATTAATATCCTGTATAAGATTAAGGCCTACTGCATAATTTTCTCCCATCAATTTTTTTACTGTTGAAGTCAGCAGCTCTCCCCCAAACTTGCAATAGTAATCAACAACCCTTAATAATATTTACCTACCTCTAAACCAATGTTATAAATAACCCCCCAAGTGTTGTGTTAGATCCATCCCAGTAGCAAAGAGAGAGAGAGAGAGTAGAGAGAGTGCCTGTTTTAGAGAGTATTGAGTTTGTACCACTAAAAAAATAATAACAATATATTTCTTAGTGTCCAGCACTCCTCTCAACTCAACAAGTGGTATCAGAGTCTGGCTTAGGATGCGTGTATCTGCTCATCGTATGTTCTGTGGTTGCCACCAAAGGTGGATCTTCCACATCAGAAAATAAGTTAGATTATCATTACCCTTTTATAGGCATTGGTTACTATTCATGAGTACGGTACTATTCATAAGTATGATCACTATTCATGAATACAGTTACTATTCATACGTACAGTTATTGGTCATACGTACAGTTACTATTCACTTGAAATAGTAAACGTTATGGCTCGTGATAGAAGCAATACGGTCAGGAACATGCTCTCTCCTATGGTGATCCTATCAGCATTCTTGAAGGCCGAAGTTCTTGTTCAGTCCGGGACTGTAAAGTTGGTTGGTCAGGGACTAGACTTGCATGGAGATGCTGAAGCAGTACCACGTCACGATAACGAATCTAGCAAGTACTACTACGACACTCAAGAACCTCAATTGCAATAACTACAGCTACTGGGAGACCTGTATAAAGTCCTATTTACAAGGACAAGACCTCTGGGAGGTCATGGGGGTTCTAAAACTACAGCACCTCAGAAGGCTAGCGAAGTACTAAGAAAGTGGAACATCAAAGCCGGCAAGGCTATGTATGTGTTGAAGACAACAGTAAAAGAAGATCTCGTAGATTACATGCGAGATGTCAGAACTCCGAAGGAGGCATGGGATACGAACGCCACACTCTTTTCGTAGAAGAATGATGCTCGACTTCAACTCCTGGAAAACAAGTGATGACATTGCAACAGAAGGATCTGACAATCAGTACTTCAAACAATTAAAATCACTCTGTTCAAATATTGTTCAACTAGATCCAGATTCTAAAATATCTAATGCAAGGATGAGGAGAATAATCAATCACGGTTTAAGCCCGGAATATCATGGACTCGTTGCTGCTACACATGGGTGGCCAACTCAACCAACATTATTAGAGTTGGAGAGTTTGCTCGCTACACAGGAAACCCTAGCCAAACAAATAGTCAGCGTTTCAATAAAAAGCAAAGATGAAGTACTCTTCAGCAGCAAGGAGAGAGGCAAACCAAAAGGTGCAAGGAAAAAGGAGATGGAAAGACTGGTTCAAAGAGGCAGCCAGGACAACCATACACCGATAGTAACAACAGCGTGAGGAGCAAGGTGATCATCGAACAATGAGACCTGACAATAGCTGCTACAACTGTGGGAAGAAATGACACTTTGCCAGAAACTACTGGTACAAATGAGGGCTTGCAGAGGGCAATGCTGTAATATCGTGCAGATGTCAAGATGATGAAGAAGAATGGATGTCCAAACATCCGTAGCCATTATTAAAGATGTACCAGTCGACGAAAACGAGGTTGTTGGTATGGCACTAACCTC